TTTTTCCAATTTTTTTTTAAGCAATTGAAATTATCTTTTACTTGAATGATATTAATTGTCTAATTAAGATTAATTATGGATAAATTAAACTTTAAATTTACCTTTTTACCGTTAACGATTTTCGCGATTTTTTTAAGACGCGTTCTAAGTCTTTTGTTTTATAAAATGACATCTGAAAACAAAAAACAAAAAAGAACAGCTATTAGTGATGAAATAAAGCATGAAATTTGTGAATTTCATACCAAAAATTCACACTTATCTCATATAGATATTGCATTACACTTTAACCAACTTCATAACTTTGATATTAAAAGAACAACCATTAGCAAAATCTTAAAAGATAAAGGACGATGGCTTTCTGCTATTACAAATCCTCCAATTCCAACTTATAAACACCGTGAAGTAAAATGTCCTTTACTTGAAGAGGCCCTTTCTATTTGGGTGAAACAAGCATTATCAAAAAATTTGATTCTATCAGATAATATTTTACGCGAAAAAGCAAAAGAATTTGCAAAAGAATTAAATATAACAGAAAATACACTTGGATTTTCAAATGGATGGTTAGGTGGATTTAAAACTAGAAATTTTTTAAGTAAACAAAAGATACATGGAGAAGCAAATGATGCTCCTTTAGCTATCTTACCTGAAAAAAGAGTCGAATTACAAGAATTAATTTCTAATTTTGATTTAAATGATATGTTTAATTGTGATGAAACTAGACTTTTCTATTGGATGACTCCTAATCAAACACTCGCTACTGGAATTATTTTAGGAACAAAAAAGGTATATATAAATAAATTATTACAAAATTTAAAATCTTTTGTTAAATAAACTTATATTATTATACTTTATATAGGATAAACATAGAATTATAGTACTTTTAACATGTAATGCTAATTGAACTAAAAATTGGAACCACTTGTTATTGGAAATTCTCAAAAAGCTATTTATTTTCATGGAATTAATTTAAATAACTTACCTGTTTCTTATTATTGGAGTAAAAAACATGGATGACACAAAATATCTTTTATTATTAGATAAAAAATCTTGATACTAAATTTCGACGACAAAATAGAAAAGTTTTAATGCTATTAGATAATGCATCTTCACATATAAAAAATGATGTAAATATTAATAATTAAAATAATTAAAAATAATTATTTTTTTATTATTTAGATTTCTAAACCTCGTAATAACGAAACTTCTAAAGGACAAAAAGAGTCATATTCCTTAAATATTACAAATATTACTCTTAAATTTCTCCCACCTAATACTACTTCTCATCTATAACCATTAGATGCAGGTATAATTAATAACTTTAGGGTAAATAATAAAGTTTTGATTTTAATTAAATTATTTAAATATTAATTTTTTTAAATTTATTTATTTTTTTAAATTAAAGGTTAAATATAAACAAAATTATTGTCGATATTTAATAAAATAATTTGATAATAATAAAGATATAATAAAGTAAATATAAATTTTTTTATATTAATTAAATTTTTAAATAATTATATTTAATTAATTTATATTTATTTATTTAGAAATAAATTGAATTTATTAGAAATAATTAATTATATATCAGAAGCTTGGATAGATGTATCGCAAAATACAATTTCAAATTGTTAGATTAAAATAGGAATTTTACCATTTATAAATTATATTCAAAGAAAAGTTTTATCTGATCAAATTGATATAGAATTTGATAATGAACTTGAAGATATTGAAGATCTTCTTGATAATTTACCTGCGCTAATTTTGAATACAATTCAACAATATACAAAACAATTAAAGAAATTACCAACGGAAGAATTTTTGAATGATAAACAAATTATTGAATTTATAATTAGAAATCCTAATGAAAAAATTATATCTGATAGTGAATCAGAATTAGAATTAATTAATGTTAAAGAAGCAGCATAAGGGTTAAAAAAATTTATAACTTTTTTTTCTCAACAATCAGATAATTCTAATTATAATTGTAAAGATTTAAAAGTTTTTAGAAAATATTTGAAATTAATGAATCTTAAATTAATAAAAAACAAAAAACAGACTTCTATTAATACCTTTTATAATATAGCAGAATAATTTTTTTATATTAATAAAGTAATAAACAATTTAATATTTTTTTTTTACTATCGCTATAATTATTAGTATTAAAATTATATAATTAATATTTTTTTTCTCATTAAATAAATAAATTAATATAAATAAA